AGAACTTGTGTGTGTGCCACAAAACTGTTGATAAGAGTGACCCTCAAAGATTAGTAAATACCTTGGGATCAAAATGTGATGAAAATATGACCAAAACTGCGTTAGAAAGCCATGATAATACACTTTCCAATGAGCCCTTATACAATGTAGTTGACCCATTGGTTGAGGAGATATTTACTATACAAGTTGAAGTGAGCAATCTTATCAACAGTTTTGTGGATCACTGTAACTGCTCTAAAAAGGACTGATACAGGAAGAAGAAGAGCTGGAAAGAATGGGAGAACTATTGAATTCTGTAGATGATCAGGACCACTGGCCATAGATCTAGTTAGCGTCGAGTCTCAACTGACCTGATCTTGCATGAAACGATCTTGATGGGACTGGCTGAAGCATTTCAAGGCTGTTGTCTTTACTGTAGAATGTCCCAAAGATACTAGAGAAGGATGCTTGTGTTGCATCCATATCTCAGATAGCATATATGCATAAAGTCAAGTTTGTGGGTGTCGCCGCAGACATCTTGTGGCAACAAGGCTTGCTGTCACGTGCCTGTGAGAAACTTGGTGTTTGAATAAGCACCAGTCAAGGTAATTGGTGCGCACAGAGTTCACATTCTAGAGCCATAAGTGGCAATCTAAACAACTTACTTCTGTGATGTGCCCTTCCCAAGAATGTATCTTAAGCCAAGGAAATATTTTTCTTATGGCAGACCAGGATTTAGACATCAAATAATGTTGCGGTAGCCACCAGATTAAGCACCGATCAAGGTGCGCACAGAGTTCACATTGTAGGGTGATAAGCAGTAATAAAAATATCTTATATTCATGATGAGCCATTTCCTAGAATGCATCTTGAGCCAAAGAAATCTTTTTTCTTGTGGCATACCAGGAGTTTAAACACCAAATAATGTTATGGTAGCCATAGAATTTGGGTGCTTATAACAGATTCTTGGGGTGGACCAGAAACATTTCATACATGATTCACTTGTTATAGCAAAAATAGTACATTATCCTACTCCTCTATGATTGTCTCTACAGCACCACCAGGCCATGCAACATCTAAATCAGGTTTTTCTACCAAGAAGAAATACTGCCCATTTTGGGGCATACCGAGAGAACGTGGAACTGGAATCATGGCTACTACTGACACAATGTTCTTCACTTCAACGACACAAAGGGAAAGAGATCCAGGATATTTGAAAACTCATACTGTATTATGTGATCTCTCAAGAAGATCAGAGTCAGGCTGACTATACATTGACACCATTGCAAGTATAACTGTTTGCTGTTGGACTGAGGCACGAAAGTAGTACTGGACCTCTGCGAATCGAATACTGTCACCCAGGTGAAGCTATAATTGAATATGCAAGACAATAAGTCCCATACATAGATGACATTGGAGGTATTCACTTTTGAGCAGTTCAAATTTTGTTTAAGGGTTTCAGGTTCTCCTTCCATGCTGAGCATGCAATCTGTTCATTTGGAAGGTGCAAACATGCCCATTTTGTGATTTTACCATCCCAACCTTCAGTGAAATCATCAGCATTTGACAAAAAGTGCTGAAAGGCTACCACTTCAGGGCCAGGAATGTGGTGTGGTACCTCTTCTCTTGCATGTAGTAAAGTATAACCATCGCCAATATCAATGGCACCACAGGGAAGATAATATGTGTCTGTGTCATCTTTGCCTTCTGCAAGTGCAGGTATCATAGCCTTCAGAGCATTCTCCTGTGCACATCAAAGCCCTCGCTCTGATAAATTCTTGTAAGAATTTGACAGCTGCTTGATTTCTTCTCCGAGATTTCCAATTGTATGCTCCATCATCCATTGTGTGCAATAGACAGGAGGTCCGACACAAATAACCTCCCAAGATATATGCCACAATGCATGTATACTTTGGCAACAGAAGTGGATGTGCTCTTGCCTAGCACAGTAGTATAAATTCTTGAAGGTCTTCGTAAACTCTAGAATTAGCTGATACTCACGATTGAGTTGCATTCATGTGATTTTGTGCTGATGAAGTATTCGGCCCGCTGCCACCAGTTGGCAAAAATTCTGCCAGTATTTTTCAGGCAAGACATTGTAGAACAGTGCAGGCTCCATGCCAAATATATAAAGCAGAAACTTCCATGCTTTATATCCACTGTTCAGTCTCTCTGTGAGATCATGAGGTGGCCTATCGAATAAGCCAGGAAGATATGGAAGCATCTTCCCAACCACCTCACCATGTGTCTTCCATGTTTCACCTCATAAGACTGCCCAGTCCCGAGTTGACCTATCATCAGGTCTTTTACAATCTAGTGTGCCCCACCACAGTCCAAGAAGCAAGTCTGGTATGATTAGAGCAATGAGATGCATCAAATCAATTGCTAGACATCCAGGCATAGAGAAAGTACATGAGAGCCCACTCAAGAGACTTGGCTTGGCAATTCCAGTCTTGCGACGTCACTTCTTGTATTGACCATCTGAAGTAGACTCTAAGACATAGTGAAGGTTGGATAGATACTCCTCGGCAGAGGGATAAGGATCAATGGTCATGAGGTCTACATCATCATGATCACATCCAGCAACAGTATAGCCTAGAGGTTTGGCAAGAGCAGGGTAATAATGCGGTGCATTTTCTTTGTGTTGTCTGATCAATTCACAGTACATATGACATTCATGGTGCCCTTTGTGACCCGTACCATTGTTGACTTGAGCAAGACCTGGCCCATCTGCAGCCACAAATGGTACAAATGGTCGGCAATCATACAGCTTGCCATCTGTCACAGCGCATCATAGATCCTGCCAAAAGGCAAGGAAATGGCTGCAAGGTGCTAGCCGCACTCAGTGACCTGCACAAAAACCAAAATAAGGACCTGCCACAAGGAGGCTAGGTCAAAAAGGCATGCAGTGCCATGCAGCCTACAAAAAGGGGCTCAAAGGGCCCATAGCCTTATGTCACACAAAGAGGGGGTGAAGGCTTCTTAGGTCGCATGAAATAGATGAATGAATTTAAGGTCTTCCCTTAGATCCTCATGTGCTTATATACATGTAGTGGTGGACCCTGGGTACCCTAACCATGGTGTACTTACTGGGGTCCTGTCCTGTCTACATGTGAACATATTGTCAAAACCAGTAATGGTTCTGGACTTTTGCTATAGCAACTATCTATAAAGGCCGTGGATATGCCAAGGTAATCCTACTTTACCCAATGAGATAATTGCCTGAAGGTGGTGCCACTATTTGAGTAGCTGAAGTGGTGCCACTTATTGAGTGGCCAATGGGGGTTCTGCCATAGCGCATATTCTAATGCAGGTGCTACTATTTGACAGCCATGTAGTTGGTGCTGCTATTGAGCAGCAAATTGGGTGCTTGCTAGCTTAATGGTCCAATGAGCACAGATAAGCCTATTGTGGGCCAAAGAGTTCCATTCTGGGCAAGTGGCCAGTGTCACGTGACTGAGTGGCTGAATCATGGATGCTTGGTGGTCATGTGGTAGACACAGTCATATCCGCAATGTATGTGGTGGTATTGTGCTGTTTGTCTAAGTATCCACTTTGTGAGACCAATATGAAGGTTGGCATCTGAATAATCACTTGTGGTTGCCGAATGATGACTTTATTGGTGCAAAAAGAAAGGTGCCACTTAATACTGTGACACCATCAAGGGCATCCCAGAAGCGAAACTCATGCTTCATGAGTGTCTGAGCATGATGAAGATCCAGAAATAGAAAGGAATCGAGGTTTTTTGGTTTGTTGGGGCCTGAAATGAAGCTGCCGAGAAGAACATGTTTCTTCTTATGTCGCAACTCTGGGGACAAATCAAAGAGCACCCAGATATATATCCAGGTGTCTGATGCCTTGTAGTGATAGAGTTGTGCACTGTCAATCGAAAAGATCAGAATCATGTCACGTTCCTGTATTTCACCACGTTCGATGGCTTGGATGATCTGCTCATCATGGTATATGTCACTCCACTCCTTGAACACTCCATTAGTGGACTTTAACTCATTAATTATCATGCGAAGTTGTGTGTGACCTTGTCGAATATTCATGGTGCCCTTAGTAGAGCATGGAATGGTCTCGAGCTGGGGCCCGAGGGGGATGGTATAGAAATCTTGGTGAGCGACCTGTTTCTTGCCGTGACTTGCATGGAGAATCTTCATGTCGTAATGTGGCTCATCACAATAATGACACACTTCATCATTTTCAAAGGGCCCTGTGAATGCAAGGCAGCTGTTGATACACATGTCATGCTTCAATGCATGAATCCCCATTATATTGGTGATACGGCATTTGACTTGGTCATAAGCAAGGATCTTGACATTTAGAAATCATCGTAACCCAGCTTGATGCATGGATTCATAGACACATTGAGAGGCAGATCTCACAGTGAGATTTAGCTCTATAAAATACAGCAGATCGGGATCTTCATCGATGCTGAGAGGTTCTTCCAATGGATGTTGCAAGTGGTGTATAGTGTCCTTGTCAAGATCTGAGTTTTCCCAACTCGCATCTGCCAGCAGGCACTTGAAATCTGTAGCAATCCTCAGTTCTTCAATCTGTGGTGCACAGAGTGTGTCGTCAAACTCATCTGTGAAGTTGTCATCATTCACTGCAGTGGATGAATGCACAGCTGAGTCAGGAAGTGGCATATTAGGAAGTGCTCTGTTGAGAGGATCAGCAAGGCTTCCAGGATCAACAGCAGATGGCAATTCTTCCAAGAGATCCACGTTGGAATCAGCAATAGAATGTTCAGATCCATCATCCAGTGCAGCCATATGAGAATCGTCAGGCAAACTGCCTGCATTTGTAGAATGGCTCATGACTGCCTGCTCTCCTTCTGCTCCACATCCAGTCATCAGTCCACTAGCATGAGATGCCATGGGTGAGATATCATTCCTGTTCTTTCAGAAGCTAGACATGCACTCTTTGGAGCTGTCACGCTGACACGCTCCATCATCCTATGCAAATAACAAATTGTATATCAGTAGAGGAAACTTAGAATATGAAATTACTCTTACCATTAGCATGTTATAATCATTCTCATGCCCATTCATCTGAGAGGAATGTGCAGGCCCTTCAGGATGACCATCCTGCAGGTTTTGGTCATTCTTTATAAGCACAGTATTCAATTTCTAGACTGTCTAACATTCTGAAATGATTTATTCTTACCACCTGCAGCTCATGGTCATCTTTGTGCCTACACTTGCAAGCAGTTGAGATTTTGAGTTCGTGAGGCTCCCCACCAGCTATAGTGTTGCAGCAGAGTTCACTGATGATGATGAAGTGGAACCTTGGTGTGATGTTCAGGTAGAGCTGCCTTCACGATATTGTCTATGCGCATAGTATGTCATCTTTGACACTCACGTTTGGACTTTGCAGAACCTCGGGCAATTGCAGTAGTAGACTTTGGGACCAGCCGATTTCAATTCAGAGTCACACATGCTCGTGGCAAGTAATTGAAGTGCATAAAATTGAAACGATGATCACGAGGGAAGATGCAGACAGGAGACAGTTTCAGTTACCTAACTAATTATAAGCTGTGTCGTGCATCTTGGCACTCAACCACTCATTTTGCCCTGATTTGCCTCATCGGACTTTCTCTTGACACCATCCTGCCACAACGTTACTCATTCCCTCCAGACGGAATTTTCACTGGGATGCAGGACTCAAACCCTGTCGCACCATTGGAACTGGGGATGAAACTCACTAAAGCATCTACACAGGTGATGCTCAATAAAGTCCTTGAGATGGCAACTCTGCCTTACTGCAAGGCACTTGATGCCATTATGTATTTGTCAGTCACCACTTGACCGAACCTGATCTATTCTGTGCAGTTGTTGAGTCACTACATGGCACACCCTGGGATCATCCACTGGCATGTGCTGAAGTGGGTTCTCCATTACATCAAAGGAACCATCAATTATGGCCTTATCTACTACAGTTCAGATCATGTGCACTCCACCCTCGAGCCTCTGATTTACTCTGACTCATCTTACTGTGACTGTGCAGACATGAGATGTTCAATGCAGGAGCACATCATGGTAATGGCTGGTGACCCTGTTACATGGAGCTCACATCACCAGGATGTGGTTGCCCTATCCACTACTGAGGCAGAATATATCACGGCAGTGCATGTGGGGCAGATGGTGATGTGAATCAAGAAATTTATGGGTGATGTCTATGTTCCTATTTCTCTCCCTGTCAGCCTCAGGATGGATAGTGCAGGCAGCAAGAGCCTGGTGAAATGCTCTATCAACTTCACCCAGGTCTGGCACCTCAACGTTTGATACCACTGGCTTCATGAGGCCATTTAACAGAAACAGATTCAGATCAATCATATTCCCAGCACTGAGAACTCTGCCAATATTTTCACCAAGGCCCTTCCTCAGCCAGCTCTTCTCAAGCACCTTAAATTTCTTGATTTCATGGTTTAGTTTTTTTTTCTTTCCTTTTTTAATATTTTTCTCCTTTCTCCATTTTGCTTTTTCCTCCTGGTGTTGCAGCCTAGGGGAAGTGTTGGAGTGCAGCTAATCTAGGGTGATGGAGAGGATGGGAAGCCCAGGTTTGACAGCATGAACACATGATCACCATGTAGGTCAGGCATAGGTGTCATTTTTATACATGAATTGGCTGCTCGTGTAGCTCAGGGCTGATACATAAATCACTCTAAAGTTATTTGCAGTCAGTTGATGTGTGATTAATACATTAAAATCTGGCCCACCTGTGTGCTTGATATATCAGGCTGCAGGTTGCCTGTACTACTTGATGTATCATTAATTGTAATAAGTCGAGGGCTAGTGATACATTATGTATGAGCTGCCACACTTGAACAACCAATCACGTGATTGTGAGCTTTTCCTTTCTTGATTCCCTTAAGCATGTGACACAGTAACCTTATATAGGTGGTCCAAAATCAGCAGCGGGTCTGCAATGTGGCAAGTTGGTGTCCAGATGTTTCTGATGTTACTGATTCGGTGGCATGACATAATTCAGCGATCAGAATCTGCACTCAGTGATCAGCCAATGAGAAGCCAAATAACAGTCATACTGAAAATGTGATCTGCACACTTATTGAATGCTACAGACATATTTTAGGTATTATTGAGGCAATGTAGCTTTACAAAATGATAGTTTACATGCTAATAGAGCTTCTGAAGATATTCTAAGAGCTCACCTGAACAGGAGTCAGGGTACATGGCTTAAATTGTGTTGAAAAAAGCCTGCTGCCACTACAAATAAAGCATTCAAGTTCTCGAGCTCCCTTCTTTCAACTCTGTCATTTTGATCCATTTTTGAGCCTCTCAGAGTTAGTGTATATATGATTTTTATGTTAATATAATGTATTCCTTATGCCTAAAACAATGCATAGAACAAGATGTAGATCTACAGCTATAGTGGCAAGAGCACATGAGTGTTGATTGAGGCCCTACCGCATGCCAAGCACCATGGGACTCTATCATATAAGATAGTATGGCTGACATAGGCAGCACAATCACATGCTTGGCACTTATATAGATTTATCTTCTACATGTATGTCTAGGTCCTGGGGAAATTGCTGCCTCATGTGCACTTTGTGCCGCTTTGTGCATGCCTCAACAAGCACTTAGTGCTGCCTTGTGCATGCCTCACATGTGCTTAGTACCACATTGTGCATGCTTCGTGCCACCTCTTAGCTTCATCCTGCATGCTCGACTCTGCTGCTTCATACTACTTCGCTGCCACCATTGTACCACTTCACTGCCAACCTCTTGAAAAGCCTGATGCAATCTGTGCTGATGACCATGGCAACTTGAGCCCAGGATGCTGGGTCATCTTACAGAGATCATAGTGCATCCTCACCCTGTTCTGCCTGCCTTGCCACTCCCAGCCTCTTTATTGCCTGATCAATGTATTCTGCATTAAATTCTGTGGCTACTCGCAGTACTTAAGGGCTCTGTAAATGTTCAAAAGTACCCACACATGAGTAAATCATATCACATCATGGTGATTCATTTCTCTCCTTCACCATGTCATGCTCGCTCTGGAGCATTAGTCCCTCAGTGCTTCAGCCTGGGCTTGGGCTGATTTTTGGGCTGCTCAACAACTTCAATCATAGAAACACACTCAGAATCGCTAAAGTCCTTTGCGAGAACGCAGGTGTCAGTCTAGAGGGCTGGTCAGAGGCATCCTGGGGCTGTTGTCAGCGATCTTGCAGGCACATCCTGAAGTAATCTAAGACATGTCAGATGAAACCCTGCAGATGATGTTATCAGCTAGAAAAAGATAAAGAAGGAATGGAGACAGACCAGAATCATCCCCCCCACCTTCTACCTGCAGTTCAATGGCTAGAAACTCAGTGGTGCAATGGATGATATTGGAAGTGACCACAGAAAGCAGACTCCGGAAATGAGTGCAGGACTTCTGATGTGGATACCGCTAATACATCACAGTTGCAGACATAGTAGAAACAGAAATAATATTATGAAGCAGGGAGAAGCGTTGGTATCTCCTTTGCGCTGCCGCTTCTTGTACCACTGCATGCGCTTAGTGCCGCCTTGTGCATGCCTCATGCGCACTTAGTGCCACCTCATGCCCACTTCGTGCATGCCTCACACCTGCTTCAGTGAATGCTTCAGATGGCTTCAGTGAACGCTTCATGCTGCCTTAGTGAATGCTTCATGCTGCTTCAGTGCACCACCAATGCTGCCAGGACTTAGCCATTGCAACCACACTGACACCCATCCTAGCTTTAAACCAGTTAGCAAATCCTCCATAATAATTCAGACTCAGAGTTCAAGTGCTCAATGAAGCCATATGCTATACCTGATACACAGGAGGAACATCCAGTAATGCAGCCAGGTGCCAGAAGGGCACGTAATTGATATGTTCACAAGCCATATGGACAGCATCATCAAATACCTAGAGTAGACTAAGAACTCACCATGACTGCCACCTTCATGATGTCATGAGTGCAGTCCCAGGCAGAGGTAGTGGGTAGAATCAGATAAGTCTTGGAAGCAGCAAGGACAGATTGTATTTGTCTGCATGTATTGAAACTGTAGAATACATGATGTGGCCACCAGGAGTGATCGCAAGACTGAGACTTTGCACATCTGCTCTGTGCTTCTAAATGCGTGTACTTAGCAATGGGCAGTTGCACGAGACCAAAGCATACCCAAGGCAGCACTAAGTGCATGTGAGGTGTGCAGAAGGTGGCACTAAGCATGCACAAAGCAGCATTTTTCCTGGGTCCATATGTCTATTTTGGTTGAATTGCGTTGAAGAAGATTTTTTTCTGATATTATGTCATTTATATTCCCAGATATCACCCTAGATCAATCAGTGTCTGAGTGCTAACCCTATTGACTGGTGCTCAATCTGCCCACTGGGCGCTCCACCTCCTATAAGTGCCAGAAATTTGACAGACACTCAGACAGGTGCTTACTTCATTCACAGGCCAAAATCCAGGCTGCCCCACCCATACAAGGGTGCTGATTCAGCCGCTTGAGTGCACCAAAAAAGAAAACCTCACAAGCATTTGATTGGGTGCTGGTTAATGTATCAAACCCAGCCTTTAAGGTTCCTGGCCACTCGATAATGTATCATGTTATCATACATCAATGGAATGATATATCAGTTGACTATCTCATAATGCATAAGCATCAGCAAAATGTCTGGAGCCCGATCTGAGAAGACATGGTAGATAATAATACCTTCATACTGCAAGACAATTATTCTCAGAAATTTGTCCATGTCATCTGCTGGCCCTTGGTCTGATCACCACTGGCCAGTTAAACATTTATCTGAAACTCAACTGACTTAATCTGACAGGTATGCACAGATATAGTCAGATATGAGGACAGTGATGCAGGCAGGCCAAAAGAATACCATGAATTGAGTG